CGTGGCATATTATGGAGCTTTTTTGTGGACTTTCTTTTTATGTATTGCTATATTTTTATACCTGTTTTTCTTTTATTTATTATACAATTTCATTTTTAATTAATAAATAAACTAATTATTCTAATTTATTTTTTAAACACAATAATTAATACTAGTTTGGCATTATAATTCTAATAACAAATAATGTTAAACTTTAAAATTACTAAACCATTCCACAGGAATAAAATTTGCCAAATGCAATCACAAAAGCTGTCACATTCTAAATTTTGTCTTTAGTTACATTAATTTTACACTACGTATACTAAATTTAAATATTTTCTTGTTATTATTTAATGTACAGAGATTTATATTATCGCTTCATATGCTAATTCTTTTGCATTAGTAATTCTCTTTAATATTAAAATTGAAATAAGTAGTATTGCTTTGAAATTAATCGCTGTTTCAGGGCCTTTACTTCATGTTTTTTTTAACTTTGTATTTGGTCGCCCAATTTATAAAATTTTTGGATATTATTAGCTTACTGATATTAATTTATATGAGTTACTTTTTTGTAAGATTTATCTAACTTTAATGCAATTCAAGCGGTTTTTTTCCACGAATTTGCTTACCTTCAAGAAATATAAAACGAGGATTAAAAAAATATTATTAAAAATTTAATTCAAAAAAGAGTCTTAAAAATATGAATAAATAATTTAAAAAATTCTTTATCGCGTTTATGTAAATTATACCTTCGCTTAAATGTGTACTGAATTAAACAGGCGTCGATATGGTCACGAAAAACGCCATTTTCTTTTTCATAGTATTTTTCTATTACCCAAAGCCCTTCGATATTATTTGTATAAGCGCCATCTCCTGACCTAAAACCTTCAGAATGATTAATTATATGATGCCTAAAATTTAAATTTCTTACAACAGACGGATATAACGGATGTCCGTCGGTAAATAGAATGCTAATATCGTTGATATTAGGCATCATAGTCGCGATTAATGAGTTTATAGTACGATCAGTAACTCTACAACGAAAGAAACTTTTCTCTTTTGTTCGGTCTATTCCACCTAATATCCAAATTGTAATCCTAGTATCATCAGCGCCTGTAGGATTTCTAATAAACCCTTTACGTAACAAAATGCTTTCATCAACTTCAACAATTATACCAATCCTCCCAACGCAACAAGCCTTTTTTCAAGGTAGTCTTTGTAACAAACTAAAAGTAAAGGCTTATACTTGCAATAGTAGTAGTAGTGTCAAATATTTCAAAAAATATCAACAACTAAAAATAATTCTGGTTACACATTGATCAATACAATAGTCTTGCTACTTTTGTTAAAGGCAGAGTAAAGTGAAACAAAGAAAGGCGCTTTTGGCATCCTTTCTTTGTGCATATATAACCTATACTTCCACCGCTTACAGAAATTGGCAACAACTTAGACAAATTGCCACATCTTATACACGCAGTGAAAAAGCTTATAATATTATTGCTTATAAGAAAGTTCTTTAGTACATCTAAATTTTGAAAAATCCAAGGTCTATTGTAATATTTACAGCAGTGGAAACAAAAAAGGAATATTTGAATAGTATAGTAATCATACGTTTTAAAGCTACATCATTTATTTTTACATTGATAGGAAATTTGAAATAGACTGAAAGAAATTTACAATGTTTTTTAAACTTTTTTGGTATTAACAGAAATTTTTTTATTTTGCGTGGCAAAAAAAGGAATATTTTTTTGGCAAGAAAATTTT